AATGACAGCATGAGAACACTCTGAGAGAGAATTAGCAAAACTACAAACCCCAGAATCCCATAGGCTGGAACCAGAACAACTGAAGTGCTATGAAACTGGCATAAATGTGTAGTGTGGATACCACCCATCCATGTCTCACCACCACATACTGTCTTGCTTTAATGTCTTTTTCAGAGAGAGAGAGAAGAACCAAGTGAGAGGGAATGGTGACAAATGCTGAAGAGGACAACATTTCTCTTTAGTAGATACAAAGAAGATTTTGAGGCAGGTTTAGATTTCTGGTTACACCTGCATCAGTTGCTCTCTTCCAAACATCTGGTTCTGCACCACTGTTAGAAATATCAGAGTCTTGCTTCTCTTCTGGTTGCCTTAAAGCAAGAAGAGGGGAAAGGGGCATAACAGGTAGATCCATTGCAGCCTGGAATTTAAAAGTGGAAAGAAAAAGTGGTCGGCTGCTCTAATAAAATGCTCTTTTTTCCCTGGAGGCCCCTCCAGTCACTTTCCAACGCTGCGCCTAGAATTTGAATTCTCTGGGTGTAGAACATGGACTTTGGAAGGCAAGTTATTCAAAAATCCCCACGCACCGGAGAAGGAGGATACGCCCAGCCAGGCTACCACCTTGCAAAACATATTCATCAGCCACCGCAGAAAAACCAGCCGACCCCCCATACAATTTCAGTTGATCCCTGCCTATGTGCCGTACTGTCGATGTTGACACCCTCTGGCTTCCACCGCACAATTTCCTGGACGTGCATTTTGCTCTCAGTGTCCCTGCACTGTGGACTTAAGTCACTGCAACATTGCTAGCTTTGTCCACTAGCCTTAAGACCCCCCCCCCAAAAAAAACCCATGGCGTGGCATGACTGAGCAACACAAGCGAAGAAGCACACCAAAGCGTTACACGCCAAACGTTCACACAGCAGAGCTGACTGAAGCAACGTCGCGGTCAGCGCCACGCGTCTAAGTCCAACAACACAATTTTAGCTGAGCGGACACACCAAGTTCACTCCAGCCTCCACATTTAGGTAGAATTCAGTAGAACACTGAAGGCATGACCTGTAAAAAGGAGAGCACCGAGGGACGCCCCTGGGCTCCTTGTGAATCGCTCCGATTCATACCTTTCCCTCCGAATCCAGTTTTGATCTTTGTTTAGCAAGAGGGGAAGGATGGGCCAGTGTGAGAAGATGATGCTAAACCTCAAAGGAGCCCCTTTTTCTACACATTTTTAGGAGAGTACAGCATCCACAGCATTCATTCAGGGGTTGCATATCTCCCCTCAAACAAGGACAGTGGACGCCGTTTTCGTTCTACGGGATCTCGCCAAAAAGAGGTCTCCTGGAGTGCTTTCTTCTGCTAATGTAAAAGTGCCTTCGGTTTCTTAGCAAGGTGGGGGAAATTGATGTGCCAGGAATGTTTTGAAGAAAAACATGGACGATGACCTGCCTGCCTCCCCACCCCACAAAATGCCAACCAGCTTTTTGCTTGTTCTCTCAAAGTGGCTGGGAGGAATAAAAAAACCAAACAGGGAATGCCCCAGGCACGAGGTTTAAGCGGTCAGGTCTCTTCACCCATTCCCCCATCTCAGAAACAATTTTATTTTTCTAGAGGTATGTCGGCCTTGCAGGAATTTGCCACGACCTCAGAGACGTTGGAGGATTATTATTTTTTTACAAAAGGGGGTCTATGGAGGGGCTGGAGGAGGATCACAGCACCTTGGTTAAGAGTAAACATCTACGTGCATTTTCACAGAATCCTCAAAATTCATATGCCATACAAACAGTGACGTTTGTCTTTTAAATACCAGAAAGCTCCCTAACAAGAGTTTAGTACATCTAGGAAAAAGTGGGAAAGGGTTGGGATATTCTGAAGACGGGAGAGGCTTTTCAGTAGGTAAATGGTCGGTAACCCCGTTCCCCTCCCATCTCTTCGTCATCGTGCTAACAAAATAATGGCTACCATTGAATGAGAGAGAGAGCGAGTTGGTTTCACCCTTGCTCACAAGTCTTTTTTCTGCAATGAGAAAGTCCTTCCTGAAGAGTCCACAATTCCTGCTGAGCCGCAGACTGTGACAAGGATCAACTCCTGGGCCCTTCCGTCGCTGGTCTCCCCATCACTGGTCTTGCATCTGTTGCTGCATTTTCTGCAGCATTTCTTGCATTCTCCGCAACTGGAAAAGATCAAACATATAGAGTGAGTGATCACAGAATCATAACAGTTGGAAGGGTCTGCAAGGGCCATGTAGTCCACCCCGCCGCCTTGGAGGAGCATCCCTGCTAAAGCCTTCCTGAAAAAGGCCCATCCAACCTCTGTTTAAAGTCTTTCAAAGAAGGAGAGTCCGCCACCCTCCGGGGCAATCGATTCCATGATCAAACAGCTCTTACAGTCAAGACGTTCTTCCGAACGTTTAGGTGGAATCTCTTTTGCTAGTCACTTGAATCCATTGGTTCATATCCTACTCTCTGGAGCAGCAGAAAACAAGCTTGCTCCATCCTCAATATGACACCCGTTCAGATATTTAAATATGGCAGTCATACAGTCTCAATCTGTGTCTGTTATGTCCAAGAGTCTCACACAATGACTGCCACAATCTTTTCCCCATTGCTTTGCCTGACGTGCCCTCGCAGCCAAAGCGAGTGTTTTGATACATCAGGAGTCCAGCAGGGTTAATGGATTAGCCAGGTTTTTCTGTGAGATGGGTCTTCAATTGATCCAGCTAGTTTCCTTACCCTGATACCCCACAATTTCCTTCATTCAGATCTCCCCCCCCCCTTTCTCTCCTTGCAACAACCGTGTGAAGTAGGTCAGGCTGAGATATTGCCCAAGGTTACACAGTGAGTTCCCATGGCTCAGTGGAGATTTGAACCTGGATCTTCCAAATCCCAGTCCAGCATCTATACCACTGCACTACGCTGGCTTTCTGGTGGCCCTGCGTTCATTCCACCTTTACCAAGGAGGAGGTGCTCTGTGGGTGACACCAGACCCTTTCTTCCCTATTGCTGTTCATAAAACAATGGCAATCTCTTGAGCAGCCAAAGGCAAAACCAGAGCCTTACCTCTTCGTCCTTCATCTTGATCAGCTTCTCTGTTTCAGCATCTGGGGTCGGAAGGGGCAGGATCGGAATTGGGCTTTCTATCCTGTTGTCCTGAGTCAGCTTGCTGAAGGGTAGAAGAAAAAGAAAGGGTTTTTTTTCCTTTAAAAAAATCCAACTGGATTTCATCTCCGCTTCAATCCAGAAAGTTGTTCCACTCAAGGCTGGCCCATGAGATCCTACACAACCTCCCACTCTTGGGGCCATCAATTGAAAAGACTCACTCCACCATTCAAATATTCACTCCTGCAAAGTCGAAGGCTTTCAGGGTCGGCGTCCATAGGTTTTTGTGGGTTTTGGGGGCTGTGAGGCCGTGTTCTAGAAGAATGTATTCCTGACGTTTCGCCTGCATCTGTGCCTGGCATCTGAAAATAAATCTGAAGATAGATCTGAAGATGCCAGCCACAGATGCAGGCGAAACGTCAGGAATATATTCTTCTAGAATACGGCCGCACAGTCTGAAAAACCCACAAAAAACTATTAACTCCTGCCTTCATAAATCCCTCGAAATGAGAGATTGGCGATATACAGCCCTATAAGTCACAGGCCACTCCCAAGACTTCTTTTTCTTTCTTTTCATGCCATATTCCTTTAAGGGTAAATGGACTGGAGGCACCAAGCTTTCCAAAAACAGCGGTGTTACCACCAAGGGGACCATCTCTCCGGCAGCCAGCCAATTCTATGTCGGATGGTGAGGGGCACCCATGGGCAATAGCCCCATTAATGTCACTGTCGGGCAATGGGTGAGGGCATCAGAGAGCCCCTGAGCAAAGCTAGGGAGACCAGATGCAAAGCAAAAGGCCACAGCGGCCAAGCAACGACTCCATTACATTACTGCAAAGGAACAAGGAGATCATCCTCCTTCCAAGTGTGCCTTAGCCATTCAGAAAGCTGCCTAGGAAGATAAATCGGCCAGTCCTGCTAGCAAAAGGAAGGTACTTACTTGGCAACTCTCCTCAGATTATTATAGAAACTGCTGCCACCCCCAGATCTGTGAATCCCCTCCTTTCATCCCCTCCCCGTCTTGCAGAACGACCATTATGTAATTCGGGAAAGAGACAGCATCGTGTTAACATCAGCCACATCTCACCACTAGATGTCCCTCGAAAATGCTACACGTTATGCGTGTGTTAGGAGGAATAAGGGACAAGTCTTCCGTCCTTGTATTTGTGGTTGTCGCTGTGCGCCTTCGCGTCGTTGCCAATGCCTGGCGACCCTAAAGCAAACCCATCCTAGGGTTTTCTTGGCAAGTTGCATCAGAGGGGGATTGCCCCTGCCATCCTCTGAAGCTGAGAGAGTGTAACTTGCCCAAGCTCACCCAGTAGGCTTCCATGGCCGTTGTATCAAAGAGGGCATTTCATCAGGCGCTGCTTCTCATGGAACCAGCGCCTGCTGAAATGACCTCTTCTGCACAACCATTAAAGGCACAGGAGCCCTGTCTCTTATTTCACTTGGCAACTTGTGTCTGGTTTTTGTGTGTGTGTCACGTTGTTGTTTGCGTGCCTTCAAGTCATTTCTGACTTCAGGCAACCTTAAGGTGAGCCTATTACAGGGTTTTCTGGGGCTGAGAGTGTGTCGCTTGCTCAAGGTCACCCAGTGGGTTTCCACGGCCGAGCAGGGACTCGAACCCGGGACTCCAGAGTCGTAGTCCAACACTCAAACCACGACGCCACGTTGGCTCCCCTCAAACACACCTGCAAATATATATCAATCCCTTCTTGTCGCTGTAAATGTAACGTCGAAGGTCATTACAGTGGAAGCAGAATCCCGTCATGTTTCAGCCAGTCCTAAAAAAGAGTTCTCTCAAGGCCATTTCACATTTGTCAGCCACAGATCTCTATGAGACAAGGGACCCTTTGAGATGAGGGATGCTTTCCTTAGTATATAATACTAAGCTCCCACATTAACTCCCATGGCTGCATCCTACGAATTTGCAGTTTAAGGAGCAATAGAGTTCTCTGCCAGAGAGCTCTAGTGCTTCACCAAACTACAAACCCCAGGATTCCATAGAATGGAGCCGTGGGGGTTATAGTGGAATCGTAGTGCTATAATAATGCAATGCAGAAGGACCCAAAGAGATGCATCACTACTGCATTACGCAGTACATATGGGATATGGACAGTAGTCGGGTGTGCCGTTACAGTGATGGTACTTGATTTTTGGAACAAATGAGCACAAAATGAACCCATTGAGAGCCATGCACTGAAAGGCCAACGCTGGAAAAAGAATTGTTACCTATCTGTTATTCGTACCGCACTCATGTGGACTGAGCAATTCCAATCCTCTGCACTGCCAGGACCTTCGCTGGGGTTGAACCTCGGTTGCAGAATTCACTCTGCAGCCCATCTTGCCCTGCTGCCTCTTTGCTCCTTCTCCTTTCAAAGTCCAAATCAAAATACTATATATTTAGAAGAGGAATCCTAACACTTTCAGAAGTGACCCTCCAGACGTTTTGGACAACAGCGCCCACAATCCGCTGCAAAAGACCATCCTGGCTGAGGCTGATGGGACCTGAATTCTAAAATATTTGGAGGACCAAGGTTTGCCCATCCACAGACTGATTCACACAGGTCCATCCATCACTCAATAGACCAAGGCAAGCGTAGGCAACCTGGTGCCTTCTAGATGTTTTGGAGTGGACCTCATCTCCTATCATCCCCAGAGAGCATGGCCAGTGGGGACTTTTGTCCAAGATCTCTGGGAGGAAGATCTCAGGGCATCTGGATCAGGGCTTCAGGAGCACCCACCTGGTCATCTGCTGAATGCACTGGGCTCTGTAGTTCTCATAGTGAACATCGCAAGTGACATCCTTCAGGTCATGCATGTGCGTCCGGATCAGCATGTTCCGCAGCTTCACAAAGTCGCAGTGCGCTTGGTTTTCCACTTGGGAGAACAGCGAGAAACAGACAAAGCATGGGTTAGGTATCCAGAAACAGAATCACCTCTAGGGTGTCAAAAGAAAACACACCCGTGAGCCAGCTTCAGCAATTCTTAGAGCAATGTGAAGTCGTAGGCTTTCATGGCTGGCATCCATAGTTTTTTGTGGGTTTTTCGGGCTGTGTGGCCATGTTCTAGGAGAGTTTCTTTCTGACGTTTCGCCAGCAGCTGTGGCTGGCATCTCCAGAGAAGATCATTCTCAGAGGAGAGTCATTCTCTGAAGATGCCAGCCACAGATGCTGGCAAAACGTCAGAAAGAAACTCTTCCAGAATATGGCCACACAGCCCGAAAAAACCCACAAAAAATCTTAGAGCAACGTTAATGCCGCCGGTAAAGTTTAGTGACTCCGCCAAAGGGGGTTGAGGGAGAGATGTGAAGGCCCCCATAAAATCCAGGAAAATTCAGGGAGGATAAAATTAGGTTTTTTCCCCATACATACACAACCAGCCTTTCCCCCAGGAAAAAAAAAATGGAAAGTGACTTTCCATTTGGAAATGGAAGAAATGGAAAGTGACTTTCAATCTGTGAAGGGTCTTAATGTTCCTTTCTCCCCTATTTTGCTACAAGTTTCTAGGTGGGTGTTTTTATTT